TGGCGCAATTTGTTCTAAAAATAGAAAAATTGTCCCATATCGTAGGTGCGCGCGGATCCCAAGACTTACGGTCTCCGTCCCCGATTATGGCTCCTGTAGCCAGTCGAATTTCAGTATTGGCCCTAAGCAGGTGATGGAAGAGGCTTATTCCGAAGATGGTGCAAGCAAGAAAAGATGGAAAACGAGCAGCTTTCAGTAGAATGGAACCCTTAGGCTATAAACTCTTTATTGACGGTGTGGAGGTAAAATAGTCATTAGCTAATACTTTTTCCTTTTATTATCTTAGTTGAGGCCGACCTCTCGATACTCAAGCACACGAACTGATTAGTAAACATCTACTAAGCTTCAAGCTTTTAAAAAATGTTCCAGGTTGTTTAGCTTATTGTAGTATTCGCAGGAATTAGTTCACTTTTTATTTTTTCGTTTCTATTAGGAGCTATCGATTAGCATATTCCTTAGTTCGTTTTTGAAGCGGTTCGCTTATAACAAAAGTCTAACACTTGATCTTGTCCGAGAGTTAACAGTTTAATTTTTCACACTCGCTACGTTTTTCATCTCGTTTCTTTTGTTTGTTATGTATGTTATTCTAAATTTATCCACTATGCACTTATCAAAATCGGGAATGCATTAATTGTTCGGGTAACAGCGACCCTTCTGGGAATAACAGCTACTGTTTTTGTATATTTTCCACGTATGCAAATTTCAATCGATACAACAACCTTAAGTTTAAAACTCTCTCGCTGGGGGCTAACTGGCTAATTCAGACATCTGCTTTCTGCAAGAAACGTACAGCACTGAAGAGATTGAAAATCAATGGAAAAAGCAGTGGTCCGGAGACTGTTATTTTGCTCATCGCTCTAACCATAGTCGTGGAGTCGCCATTCTTGTTCGAAAATCCGTTGACTTCAAATTGAAATCAACTCGATCTGATGAGGACGGGAGGTACCTCATTCTAGACTCAGAATCAATCGAGAAATCTCTGAGAGGATTGTTGAAGGGCTGGAGTTTGAGAGGACTTACACTACTTGGAAAAATCCAAGTGATCAAATCTTTCGCCATACCAAAGATCTTATACAGGGTTGTTCTCATTTAAAAACAAAAAAGAGTTTATCGAAAAAAAAAAACAAAAAAACTTTATCATATTCTTTTGTTTGGAAGGGAAAAGATAAAGTTAAGCGCACAGCATTCATTAACCCTAATAATAAAGGAGGCTTGAAAATGCACAACATTGAGTCAATGATTTCTGCCCAAAGAATAATTTGTATCAAGTGATATCTGTCACCGATCTTGCTAGCTCAAGAAGTTTTTTCTGGATTTTTATCTTAAAAAAGTAAGGGGAAAATTCTTGTTTCATCGTAATTTTAATTATACTTAACTATCGATAGCTCTTCCAGAATTTTACGAGTAATGCATTGTGACATGGAACCTTTTAAACGAGGACAACCTGTCCTCATCCCTGAAATAGCAAATCAAGTGATATGGAACAACCAGTTCATTTACATTGAATCAAGTCAATTTATAACAGTAGGCTGATTGATCTTGGAATCGTAAGAATTGGAGACCTGTACGACACAAGGGGAGAGTTCAAGCCGAATAAGGAACCATCATACAGTGGAAGCCCTCGTAAGCGGACACCCTCGGGCGCGAAAAAGCTGTCCGTAACTGTTATTAACAGCGGCTTTAACAGTCTCACTGCAACAAAAAGCAGCGATACAGTTTACAAATGTTTATAAGCATCTTTCAATGTCAGGCCCAATTCCTTTGAAGTGTCCATTTACGGGAGCTTATAAACAAAGGAAAAGTCTAGATTGTAAGCCCTACAAGTGTCCGTGGCCGCTTACGAGAATGTCCGCTTACGGGAATGAGTAGATACAGAGTTTGTTTGTGAGTTCAAATGGGGTTTTGTGGAGGCAGTCGTTAGCAGAGCTGTGCGCTTTTGAGAGTGTCCGTTAAGAGAGCTCCTACTGTATTCAACTCGCTCACCAGTGAAACATTTTCTACTTTTCAGTCTCTTCAATGCTTTTCAGGAAGAATGGCACGAAATATTAAAAACAAATAAAAACTCTATCTCCTCAAGAACTCATGATCTAATCCAAACTGATTTTATGACAGTTTTGTTTCTAAGATATCCAGTATACCAACAGCGCAAAAGAAATATAACGAAGCTTTCAGCACGCACATATCCAGTTAAACTGGAAAAAGATATATCTACTGCCCTTCAAAACAACATTGGATACTAAATTAAGAGAATTCCAATATAGAATATTAAACAGGATCTTATACACAAGTAAGATGCTGTTTAAGTTTAACAAAGTAGATTCTCCCTATGCGATTTTTGTGAAAAGGAGTTGGAGACCATAGAACATCTCTTTCTCCATTGTACAAAAGTGTGCATGTTTTGGGATGATTGAAAGGTTGTACTTAATTCCTTAAATATAACTGTTAGGTTTGATATCAAGGATGTTCTTTTAGGGATTTTAGGTACGGATAATATACGCATTCCAGTCAACTACATTCTTCTTGAAAGTAAATATTTTATTTACCGCTGTAAGTTAAATAAGGGCTCTTTATGTTTAAGACTGTTAGTCGATAAATTTATTTATCGCGAAAAAAACAAAAACAAAACAAAATCCATTTCCACGATAAAAAATAGAAACCTTTACTCCCATTAATACAACAGTGGCTGTTATCCAAATCTCGTTTTTCTAAGATTCCTTTAATTACTCTGTTTTATTGAAGTTGAATAAGTTATGTAATCCTTATAGTGTAGTGCAGTGAAGTTTTCTTTGTAGTTTGTAATTGAGGTAATTGTTGTAAATTTTGTCATGTTTGTACGTATCGATCTGTACATTCTTTCACTATACCTGTTAACGAAAAAAATAAAATACATAAAAAAGAGAATTGTCAATGTGATCTCTTGAGAGAAAAGTAACCCACTGTCATGATAGTACAGTTTTTCCTACCGGCTGAGTATTGTTTGTTATTTGTTCAAATTTCAAACCGAACGGCTCAAGGTTGTACCTAACTGATGAAAGATCGCAGAAAACTAATATACATAATATAACAAACCTAAGGAGGTCCTGTTTTTGCGTGTCCTCGGTAGACAATTGGACTGCCGAGAAAGAACAAAAATTCGTTCAGGTGGCGCCCAAACTTCACATGTCCGGCGCGCTTACTGAAAGGTTTTGAAAAGAAACCTGTTTGTTATGTACAATGAAGTTTACAAAATTGACGAAGTTCAGGAACGGGTGGGGGTGGGGTCCGTACGGGACTAGTTGTCACCCAGTGGTATAGTGCGTTTTTCTGATTTAGGGTTTCTTTTTGCATGAATCGAATGCCCAATACGAGTTTGGTGGAAGGAAAAACCCATAGCTTGATAAAACATTTTCTGGCATGGCGACAGCTGATCTTTTAGTTGTCAAATTAACGTACAACACGTGTGCGTAGGTAAATGGGTGGGCGCCATCATTAGTTTTTTTATAATCCGATTGTCTTATTAATCAATTTTACTTGCTGGATAGTTTGAGTAGAAAAGACGTTTTCGTTCGGCAATCACTTCTAACGAAACTGATGACGTCAGCAGTATTGGTGATAGTTTGTTACTCTACTGCATGGAAGTCCATACTCTACGTCATCAGCTTTAATGGAGTTTGTGCTCTGTTTATTACTTATTACTCACTTAACTTGTGGGCTGCCCTTTCAGGTATCAAGTGCCAACTGTATGCAAATAGAGCACCAGTCTGCGAAGGCAAACGACCCATGGCAGTGTGGCTGGACGGAAGAAAAGTCTTCCTTGTTCTTCTCCTAGGATTACTATTGGTTTTCATTTACAGCATTACATTGAAGAAACCTGAAGGACGGTTTAAACGTATAAACGATGACCATTTTCTGTTTGACGTGCACAATGATACGAATAATTCCCCTTATAGAGCATCTGTTGAGACGTTGCCTTCAAAGAAGGTAGAAGGTGATGAGGAACAATGGAATAAGCTCAAAGAATCCAGCAAGGTACGCAAGCGTCTCCCAAATGCTATCATTATTGGCGTGAGAAAAGGAGGCACGAGAGCTCTGCTGGAGTTTTTAAAAATCCACCCCAAGATTAAGGCCTGCCCGGTAGAGGTACATTTTTTTGATAACAGCAAAACCTATCAGTTAGGACTGGACTGGTATCGAGAAAAAATGCCCAAATCTCAAGCAGATGATATAACCATTGAAAAAACGCCAGCGTATTTTGTGACGGACAAAGTTCCCGAGCGACTGTACCAGATGTCAAGTACCGTCAAGCTGATTGTGATTGTGCGCGACCCATCGGAGAGGGCGATTTCTGATTATGTACAGGTTTTATTTAAAAACCGTGGACTATTACCACCATTCGAGAAATTCATTACCAAAGGTAAAGCCGAAAAGGTGTTGAGGACTTCAACTAGTACGGTCCAAATCGGTGTGTACGTTGAACATTTGAAAAGGTGGTTAGAATATTTCCCTCTCTCGCAGCTCCATTTTGTCAGTGGGGAAGAGTTGACTTCTAATCCAGCCAAGGAACTTCAAGCTGTTGAAAAATTCTTGAACATCAAACCGTTTATTAAGGAGGAACACTTCTATATTAACAAGACCAAACGTTTTCCTTGTTTTACCTCGCTCGTTGAAAATAAAAAAAAGAAAAATTGGGGTTGTTTGTCGGAAAGTAAGGGTCGGGCCCACCCTTCTATCAGGGATGACATTCGTAAGCTTCTGCAGGACTATTACCGGCCGTATAATGAGGAATTTTATAAACTGGTAGGAAGAGATTTTCATTGGCCATAGAGGAGTAGTCACTGTTATACATGGCAAAGTTTCATGTGTCTGGGACTGAAACCAAACGTGCACATTGTGTACGAGCGAGTTCTTTATGGTCCCTCCTGAACGCTTTGAAGCCAGACGTGAATATGATCGGAGAAATGCAGATAATATAAGACGGAGTAATACAGGACATCCATCATTAATGGATTTTAATTTGCTGCGGTTTTTCGTAAGATAAACTCAAATGCCCGTACCATTATAACATGTAATGCTGAGTTGTAAAGCCGCTCTTGCTTCCTGATATAAACAACAAACTGATAAAATAACTCGGAGAATTGTTATCCATTTCTATGTTAATCTTGGGTGGAGTTAGGGAAAAGATTAAAGGTTGTACACTTGTTAAATCTTTCTCGACCGTAGTGGCCGTAATTACTTTGGTCAGTAGTAGTAAGATGTGGAAAGTTAAAAGGCCGCCAATTCCTGTTACAACTTGTCCAGTCTTGTGCTAGAGCACTTCATAACTCGTATTCAATGTTATTCAGCTCCTTGCTCACCCTCGTTTCGAGTATGTCAAAAGACAAATATATGAAAAGGGTATATTATAATATAAAAAGACTGGTAAACGTCGTTGATCTTTTGGACACGACTGGGAATCTGTGAAATTGAGTTGGCGGAAGTCCTGTTGTGCTGATTTTATTTACCGTGGGGTATTAAGCCTTATATGGATTTCAAGTTAATCTGTATCTAAAAACAGAAAGGTATATACGCCTAGATTTTGATGGGTCATTATTATCACTCTTTATCGATTGATGCTACAATCATAGTATCAAGAAACTACCCAATCATCGGAGAACATGTTGCTATCATTTTTGCGACGCAATAGGTTACCATAGCAACAGTATGACCTGCTAAAAACACCCTTAATTTTAACTTTAAGTACTTATGCGGCACGGTGAAATTTTTTTACATCATCAAATTTTGATAAGCAGAATAAGACGCAACATTTGGCAAAGTTAAAAAAAATTCTGTACATAGGGTTCGAACCCACCTTAAATTTTGAACTCCACGTGCAAACTTTGCCAAAAGTTGTGTTTTATCCTGCTTATCAAAATTTGATAATATAGAAAATATAGGTTTTGAATAGAAGATTTTTTGAATAACAAGCCCTTAAAGCTCAAATTAAGGGTGTTTTTAGCAGGTCATATTGTTGCTATGGTAATCTATTGTGTCACGAAAATGATAACGTGTTCACCAATGATCGGGTAGTTTTTGATACTATGATTGTAGCATCAATTGATAAAGAGTGATAATAATGACCCATCAAAACTTGACGACAACTGTCCAATGGGGTTTAAAGCGTTATTTGCCTCCTTGTGTTACGAGTATTCGAACCAGGAACTGATTCGGAAAGGTGTCTGTCTATGATATACTAAATAAATACCAAGTTTAGTAATCAGTTTGTTAACAATTGGTAAAACGCCTTGAGTTATACCAAAATCATGATTACATATGTTTTACATTTTGAACGGAGATATGTTTTTTTGCAATATGTTTTGTGTTTCTAGAATATAATTTTGTTTCGTTTTTCTTAAACAACTGTCTCACCGTCTTCGGTGGAAAAAAACTGAAAACCGTGTTCTGTCGGTTTGGCTGATCAACTTTTTCAATTGGGATTGATGTTGTTTGACTTGATTTAAAAGTTATGAAAGTAATAATTAAAGTTAAAAGTTCTCAACAGAGTAGGGTGGGCCTGGGTAATTTATATTGTTGATTTATCTAATTTCCTTGCCCACCCCCTTGTCAATGGTATTATCTTATGCGGCCTCTCCCTAACTCTCTTTGGAAACAAAGTCTTTGACCCACCTTATAACAAAGTGGACTATCAGTACATTAGGCAGTGCTATTAGACATGCTTTCATAAAAGTCAAAGAGACTCCAGGCCTTCAATGGAATGATACAATTTTAATAACAACAACTACGGATTACTTCCTTCTTAAAATAAAAAAACATACATATATTATTAAAACATTACAAAAGTGAGAAACAGCAATTGAAACTGACAGCCTTGTTTCAAAATGTCTGTATCAATGAAAATACACTCTTTTGACCGACACAACGTAGGATGATTTTTTGAAGGTGTACTATATTTCGGCTGGCCAAACCAGCCTTCTTCAGGTACAATGGAAATGTTATATTGGGACGTGTTTTTATGTAGCCGATATTTACGTAATACCGGAAATAATTGACAGTGTAAATTAAAGATAAGCATACGGTAAAATAAAATAACATGATAAAAGAACATAATAAAAGAGAACAAATGGAAACAATTAATATGTTTCTTCTTTCTTTTGATCCTGATGGTCTGAACATCCGCATTACGTATTTCCGGTATTACGTAAATATCGGCTACACAAAAACACGTCCCAATGTAAAAATTTTCATTGTACCTGAAGAAGGCTGGTTTGGCCAGCCGAAATATAGTACACCTTCAAAAAATCATCCTACGTTGTGTCGGTTTCTTCATTTTATATGTAAAGCCGATTAGATCACTATTGATCCAACGTATACCAGCAGGATCATCGTTCCGGTTGCTTGCTTAAACATTTTATACTCTTTTGACAGCCGAGTATAGGACATTTGCAATGGATGTTTAATGCATGGTTGAAACTTTTTTTTTTTTCATTGGAAGACTTTCTCAGAATGGAAGGTTTTTAATGTTACATTTCGTCTTCTTTTTAATAATTGTATAAAAGCAATAAAACTCAACTTATGAGAATCTACGGCTTTCGAATAACTGTACTGGCTCGTGAATCATCTTACCCATCTTTTGCTTTTTTTTTTCAAACAATGCTTAATCATAACCAAAACCTGTTTTTGATAGTTTCTTATTCAGGTTTCTGCTTGTTGGCGAGTTTGCGAAAGTTTTTGAAAGGAAGGTCTGACGCCTACAAGTAGCTCATTTGCATAGTACAGCGCGTGCACTTTCCAGTCCGAGTCGGCCGTGTTTTCAGTTGTCAACAAATCTTGACAAGAATTTCTTACGTTATCTTTTGTCCTGAGATGCTGCAACAATTTTCACCAACGCCTAAAGGCTACTAACATCATGTGTGTTTCTTCAACACATTGAAATTTTACACTGCTAAAATAAAATAGACAAGGAGTTTTGATAACTCAACCTCCAAAATCTAAAGAAAGCGTCATCGTAACTTTGCTGATTATTCCTGCTGTATTCACAAGCTTTTTATATGTTCTAAACATTTATCAACCTTGAACAAATTTAAAAACTAGAGATAGTGTAAGTCATGAGTTCGATGTACGTTTTCACACGAAAGTGCGGAAGTCCAATTTGTCATATTTACAATTCAGGCGGAACTCAAACTTGCAATTTTTCAGATTGTTTTTTTACTTTCCGATTATGGCTCCTGATTCGACCAAAAAATTTCGGTTTCAATTTCAGCATTTTCCGGAATTACTGGAAAAGCAGACAACCCGCGATTTTGGAAGATTTGTTTCCAGGAATTTTCGTTCCATTTGATTGTGCTGCCGGAATTTCCGAGATTTTCGGTTGGATGGTTCGCATTTCGGAAGTTCAACAATTCTTGGATTTTTTTTCTGAAAATTCTGTACCATTTGCCTCCATTTCGAAAGTACCTGAACTTTTGATCGAATAGAAAGCACCTGATAGACTATTTTACACTATAACATCAAAATCACCACCACCGCCACCACCACCACCACCACCAACAACAAGACAATAACAACAACAGAAGCTACGTCAGGCCATAACTGTCCCATCTTGCCAGAATTACTCTGGATCGTATAGTATTAAGCAGTGAGGAGCCCATGGGTGAGAGCTGAACCTCGCCGGTTCCCATTTATATGACCTGGGTGGTGAAAAGCGCTGTGAGAATGAAATGGCCTGCCCAAGAACACATGATCCTGGCCACGGCTCGACCCCAGTCCATTAGAGTTGGAGACCAGACACTCGAACCAATTAAGCCCCCGCACATCTCATAGCATAAGGAGATAACAAAATGTTTACTAGAGCAACTGCTTCGGTTGCCCTAGTACTACTCGGGTTTGATATTTCTGTTTGAAACAGGCAAAAGGATGAAAAATACGCCAACTGGAAAATTATAAAAATGGTGTTTCCTTCCCACTTATTTGGGAAGGTGTCACCCCCCTTGCAGTGCATCAACTAGATCACGACATTGTGGGTCACAACTCCGCATGGAACCAACAGCAACAACAGCTTTATTAGAACTTTCCCATTTCTATGTATAGTATTATCAATACACAATTAACAACAAGCAAACTAATATTGGCTTTAAGACTACAGTTAAGAAATTTTATATAAAAGTCGGTGTATTTATAAAATTAAACACAAACACATAATTGATAAATATGTGTTTTTCTTTTCTCCGTGACCTGCAAAAAGGAATATGACAACAAAAATCTGTAAATATTTCTGTTTCGTTCAATGACATTTTTTCCCAAAATGAATTTTTCAAATAATCATATAGCAAGTCATGAAATTATAAAAACGTGCATTTCATCTTCACCTATGATAACAGTGCTGTGCTCCCAAACTCTGACGTTATCAAGAGTTTAGGAACAGCAAAATTTCCCTGGACGTTTCTTATCTTGTATTTGGAGGTAATTTTCCGTCTGTGTTCAGGATTCTTAATATTGTTAATAAAGTTTTAATAGTTCTCTTCGTCATTGAAATGGATTAAAATTTGGGCTTATGCATTAGAATGAGTTGATACTTTTTAAGATAATCAGAAATTTTTATTTGCCTTTTATAGGAAAATAGAAGGGTCGTTGTCTATATCTCAATTTGCACAGAATCAATCAACGACTTGAACATACTTGGACATTTGCAATCTAGCCAATGAGTCAGATTCTTTTTGTTTATCTCATAATTAGTGACTGGAGAGTTAAAACAATGGTAGATATCCAACTTCGATGAATTAAGACACTACCAAAAAACCCCTAGAATTTGTATTCACTTACCATTAGAGATATCTAAGACTAAATAAATTTAATTAAAATACCGTCAAGGCAGGACAATTTATCTAAATATATAGATACATTTATTTTTTTTCCCTGAGCTTAGAGTAGAACACAGTAATACTAGAGGCATTTTGAGTTTCAGGCCTGAAAAAATTGAATAATTAAAATATCCTTCCAGTTGTCCTACAGAAGGGCAAATGGATTATAGGTATGTACGTCACAGTTAAGTAAAAAATCATGTCATTGAAACTTTCAGGAAGAAGGCGATAAAGGTACATAGCTTCACCTATTTGAAGTTTGATAATGTTTCCAAATTCCAGAATTTTTAAGCTTTTAAAAATAGGATCTGTATGTGCAGCAATACAGTACTTTTTGAAATCATCCTAATAACTCGTTTCTGAAGTGTAAGTCAAACGAATTGTTATTGCTTGGTTGTTAGAAAATGTCGCTAACTGAAACTGGAGATCATTGTTGCTGATTCCTCTGCACTGATCCAATACATAGCCGTGCTCCTGTGGATCTATTTCTAACATGTTAATATGCAACCAAGATCTTTCTACTCTATTGTCATTTCTTTGATCACTGGCCGGTTAACTCAAAGCTGATGCCAAAATAACTACCCTTTTGATTAAAATAAAACAAAAAGTTAACTTTTTAACACTAGTGTATAGTTGTTTTTGGAGGTTACAGTTTTGTTGTCATTTTAACTCGGTAACTTCGGGAAACAGCTTCAACAATTAGAGCAAACATGCTTGTTTTTTTTCTTGTGTCAAAACATTTCTTTAGAAACTGCCAAAACGTTTTTGTATATTATCCTGCATTGGTTCTTGGGTCTTAGGGTTTTTCCGATACAAAATCAAACTCATCTGAATATTTCATCGCTGCATGCTTTCTTTCTTCTCTCGTTCATAAGATTCTAATAAGACA